TAGACACGTCGGCGTGAACACGTCGTCGCGTCGTTGTCGTCGTCCGTAGCATTGTGGTGTGGGTGTCGTAGACGTGTTGGCGTGGACACGTCGTCCCGTCGTCGTTGTCGTCTGTGGCGGGCGCTGGGTGTCATTTTGCGGGGAGTATGTACCAGAAGCGAAAACGAAAATCTGGCATACATAACATAACGTCAGATGCCAGTCCGTTATCTAGCCGGAGCACTGGCTGCATTTTGTAATTAAATGAGCTTTTTGATAGCAGGGCAACAATTACAAACAATACAATATTTTTTGTTTGTAATCCGAAAACTTGTAATATGTGACCTTGCCTTTCTCGGTGTCACAGGCTTGAACATTGAACATTTTTTCTTTTTCACAAGTCCTTCTGTACTCAGGTAAATGGCAGTATATGTACTTATCTACGAAAAAAACATTTACATGGGTACTATATACAAACTATGTAGAAGTGGGAAGGAAGGAGCGAGGACCACCTCTCCCCTTCAACAATGTGGCCATTCATCGATCGTGGTGATGGGCCCTCATGGCAATTCGTGTCGTAGCCATTTATTGATGGTGGTTGTGGGCGGTCGTAGCCATCCGTCGATCTTGGTGGTGGTTGTTGATGGTGGTGATGGGCCCTCGTGGCTGTTTGTCGATTCTGGTGGTGGGCCCCGTAGACGTTGATACACGTTGCACGGGGATGAACGTGAAAGTGCGAAACACGCAAACAAGGATCAAGCGCATCGGGGGAAAACCCTACACACCTAACACTCACTCACACACACACACACACACTATCACAATCTCAGTGCAAGAGTTCGAGGGCCTTTGGTATTAAGAAATACCACTTTTGTCTTCTTAGGTTTAAGTCTCAAGAGTTTTCGTTCAAAATTGGGTTTTTATTATAAGGTGTGGTTTAGAATAGTTCAATAGAACAAAGTATATCTTTCTGGGAACTTGGTCTCTTAAATGCAAAGTTCTTTGATCACAGTTTCTTTTATTAACACAAAACACGACTTTAATTGACTTTTATGACTCCCGTGAGTTTTTATTATGTCACTACGCTCCAAAACCAAGGGTACAAGTACGCTGTCTTGTCTAAAATGATACTGTGTCCTTAAAACCTCTTATTCAAAAGTCTCCAAGCAAGTTGACTCCCAAGCACGCTGGCTTCGTTCACACTGTACTTATCTGACCACGAAGAAATCTCCTTTTAATTGATTATAACTGTCCACCTCCTAAGTCTCTACTTGGAGTGCAACTAGCTGGTCAACGGGGGGGCGATTACTTGCCTTTTGACCTGCCAGCGCGCTCCTTATATACTCCAGGAACCCCTATCTACGTTTTACATGTGTTTTAATGCGGGATACTTCGGTCCGAATTACAAATATGAAATTTAATGAACGTGTGGTATATTTTGTAGTCTATCTCTGTGAACACTACAGATTTCGTAGTGTCGCGTCTTTCATTTTCAAACGCATCAGTGTTTGATGCGTACGCGGAGTTAGCCGACATAGCTATTCTTAGCTTGGCATGATCTCGCGTGTTCCTTTCTATGGCCCGGTTTACCGGTTTGACAGATGACCTCACAAAATGATTAATGTCTCCTGATGCGTTGATGCGCATACGTACGTGTTTANCAATAGTCTTCGGCCCTCCGTCGCTTNCGAGTTTTTAATTAAAATGCCTGGTCTTGGCTCGTCTTTTCATTACGGAGGTCGGGAGACACTCCGAAGGTGTTTTCAAATGTCTTTCTNNATTGTCAGGGGGTTCTTATTATATTTCATATAATAGAATGTGTCTTTTCTCATGTTGGTACTTGTGACGTTCAGACGCATCAGTCTNTGATGCGTACGCGGGAACTGCCGTACATGACTTTCTGAATGGCCGTGAGCCACGCTAAGTCTTCATACGTTTACTACCTAGGTGTAGTTTAGTCTTTCCATGTTTCAGACATGCCGTTTAAGCGTCTATGTCGTCTTTTCTGTATTTCTTGTATAAGCACGAGTTTTCACAATAAATCCATTATGTGTTTCTAAACCCTTTGGTAGTAATGCAATTCTTCTCCCTGCGTTGGGTGTTTACTCTAGAACCTCTTCGTGCTCTATTTCATGGTAGGTGAATCTTAGATAGGATCCAAGTATAATGTCACGACACGTACTGCTGCCAGTTCCAAAGCCTTGTCCTATTTTCAGATTCCACGCATTTGCATTTTTAGTCAACTGCGCCGGGTATGCACATTGACTCTTTGTATCATTGCAATTGTATGTAGTGTATTTATTAGAGATGACCTTTTATCGGTAAAATCGTTAAAATTGAATTTTATACGGGTGAAATGGTTTCATCCGTATCAATGTTCATGGGCGCTCATCGTCATCCGTCGATGGTGGTGGTGGGCCTTCGTGGCCGTCCGTGGGCGCTTGTCGATGGTCCTGATGGTCAATCGTCAGAGGTCGTGGCGGGCCGTCATCGCTGTTCGTCGATGGTGGTGCTGGGCGCCTGTGGACATTGCTGGGCGGTCGTCGCCGTTCCTCGAACGTGGTGGTGGGTCTTCGTGACCAATTGTCAATGGTCGTGGTGGGCGCTTGTTGCAGAAGAGAGTGTCCTGCGTGACATGTTGACAGACCAGTAATCTGAATAAATACAAATAAATACCATAATTATAAAAATCTTTGAATTTGAAAGTGGCCGGAATTGGTTCGGCAGCGAAAAGCCAGAAACGAAAATCCGGAGCAATATTTCGCAAGAAGATATTTTTGTTTTCGCTTCTGGTCTATACCGTTTTGCAGGCGCTGGGTTCGTTCGTGGCG